GCATCTATTCAGCATATATTTTTTTCTATTCTCGTATGCTGAGTAATGCAAACATACGGAAAAAGACAAACCGTAGGTATGATCAAATATGAAATTGATAAATCAACAACAGTAGGCGGTGCGGATTATTACTGTTGTTTCTTATCTGTTATTTTGATCAATATGTATCTTTGTGTTCATGCGCTTCGCCTACTGAGTGCGTAAACATAAATACTCCTAATATTCAATGCCGGAAAACAGCAAATAATTGTAATGTTCATTCAAGTGTTCATGAACATGCCTATACACACATATATTCATTTGGCTCGATCATTACGCTGGTTTCCGAGAATCGAACAAATTGCCACTGCGTAAATCCCCTCAAGAAAAAAATATTTTTATGTGCTATGTCAACTTTTTGAATATAAGTGTACTATATAATATACAAAGTTTCAAATCTATTGGTTTCTCTCAGAGTCGTCATGTTGCAGAATTCAATTTTTATATAAAAATATAAGCACTTAGTTGTCATCATTCCGTTAGTCTAGGGTTCAGTGAATCGACTTTCGATGTCGATGAATCTTACTTGTTATTAAGATCAATAATTAGCTTTCATTATTTCTTATTCATATTAAAGTATAAGCTCTGTCAAAGTCAAAGCAGATAAACGCACTCTCGTTTAATTATGAACTGAGAATCAAATATTTATAACTTCGAAAACTTTTCTTATATAAACGTATTTGTTCTGAAGATATTTGATCAACCGTTAGTTACCGTACTTCATTCTCATTGACTACAATAATTTATCTCTAATGAATAACATTTAGTTTAATTTCGATTCTTCAGCATCATAATAGATAACACAATGTAATTTACATTACAATATTAATTATTGTTGAAATATATAATCGACTACAGATTATAGGTTGGAAATCGCAATTTTATTTTAGTAGCCCAATTATGAACATGAAATTATATATTATTTATAGTTTGCACTCATTTTATCAAATGTTTAAATGACCTAGAAGAGTTTTTCTTTTGTTTCTTTTTCTAAGTTCATTTTCCGTCTAAATTACTCTATCGAATCTAAAATATTTGTTGAAGAGATAATTTGTGTTTTTATTACTGTATGTTTCATAAAACAACATAAACACATACATTCTGAGAATCAAACTGAACCTTTAGTGCAAAAAAAAACATTGATCAATAAAACACATGAAAAACAAAATCATAGAATATTATGTTCGGGAGTATTAGTAACTGTTGTTTTAACGATGATCGTTTATTAATTGTAAACATACTATTGCCAGAATCGTTTATTTTAATATGAATGAAATGAATATTATAATGTGTCTACTAATATAACGACTACGTTACTCATAATCTTCTTTTTGCTAGAATAGGTTTGATGTAATTTGAATGAAGACATTCAAAACATTCTTTAATTGTTCAAAATAAAATAAATATAGATTTCTCAATCGGTAGTCGTTATCATAATAGTTTACAAGTTTTCTTTGTTCCTTTGGTGAAACTTATTTATGAGTTAGATTAAGAAAATAAATTCATAAAGATTATATTTCATATGTAAACAAAATGAATGTTGAGAACTGGTAAGTTTTGTCTTGTTTATGTATTTTTGACTGTATTTCTTTATGTTTTTATGATTTAATTTATTGAAATGAACTCCATAAAAATAATGATGTAAACTGATGTTTTTTCAGCTTTTTCTGAAACTAAGAAGAGTTCTTGCTTGTTTTTGCTATACATAACAATGATGTCTACTAGTTTTCAACTTAGTATTCGCAACAATTGAAGAACGATTTGCATACCATACTAAGTTGTAATTGAATGATTGGCAGCTATGCACAAAGATAGCTACCGATGAATCAATTACTCTCTTAGTTTGCTATGATTAGTTTATTTGCATTATAAATAGCTTCGAGAATTTTCTTTCTTCAGTTTTTTTTACACATTTTATTACCTCTTTTATCGCCAAACGGAAGAAATTAAAGTGAGAGTAAATATTTATCTGACATGCACAAAAGCTACTTTTCAGAACTATAGATTTTTTTTAGATATGACTAAAGTATAACGTCACATTTGATAAGCAAATAAGTGCAAGTATTTCTTTTACACAATAAATTCGGAAAAACTATTTTTTCTCGATAGTATCAATCAATTTTTGTCTAAATATAATTTATCTTTACTTCAAGTGTTTCAAATGAAATTTTCATTTCAATGCTTTAACTTCTTTCCAGGATCAAATTACATAGAAGTATACAAAGAAAAATAATTCATTCTTTTTCTTTTCTACATTATACAATTTTGCAAAAAGAAGAAATTCATTAAAATAGTTTCCTATTGCCACTTGAGTGCTGAACAAGGTTTATAAATTTTCTCTTCTTTTATGTAACATGACAACAAGCGACCTCATATAGAGTAACAAATGTTGCCAAGCAATTGCTAAGCATGAGCACAAAGTAATGGCAGTCACACAGCTGTGCTCTATTTTTTTTTTATAAAATTGAATGCAAATAAGTTGCTCTTTTCAATAGTTCTCTCTTAGCAAAGTCGAAGTGATCGACAATTATTGCACTTATTAATTTGATGTATAATATTGCCTCGGAGGCAAGCTTTCGAAAAAGGATAACTGTCAATTACCATAACCAAACTAAATAAGGCGAGAAAAATTAATTCCGATCGAAGAAAATGAGCCGAGAACATACTTATTCTCACCTTGTGTTCTTTTTTCTATTAAATCAGAACTACTTCTCATCTTACTTCTCTTTTATATTTGAAGTATTTTTCTATTTGTTGGCATCCTACGTCGATGACGACAGTGGCAAACGCTTCGAAAGGTACTTAAAACGAAGAAATATATTTCTTTTTTTCAAACGTTTTAGCTCAAACAACAGTTGCAACATGAGTAAGAAATCAATCTTCTCTTTTCTTTCATCATATAATCAATTAAAATTCTCATTATAATTTACAAAAACAAATTCTTTTTCTCTTTGGATTTAGCTACACGTCTAGAAAGACCATCAGCACCAAATGTGATCAATTCAAATCATTATTCAATTGAACTTGAATGGGAGCATGTTCGAATCCAAGATCAAGCACGACCAAGAAATCGAAGATTGTTTGATGAAACAGGTGCAGCATATTCAGGTTCTTTAATTTATCTTCATCAACGTGAGAAAAAAATTGGTTCGATTTGGGAAAATATTTATAGGTATGCTATTTAAATATCTATTTAAATTTGTACATTTTGCTTTCTTAACAAAAATAGTGGATCAGCATTAAGATGCAAAATTGAAAATTTAAAACCACATACTCAATATGAATTTCGTATACAATGTAAATCAGGTTTGAATGGTGAACGTTCAGAATGGTCGCCGTCATTATTAGCTGAAACAACACCTGAACCTATGAATGGCGAAACAATTTTCAAAGCAATTGCTGCACCTGGAAAAGAACAACTTGAAAAACTAATCAATTTCTTGTAAGTGTATTATAGGAATAATACTTTCAAAACAAAAAAGTAAAATAATCATTTTTGTTCGTATAGAGGCGAGGAACATGCTCTCTTAGAGCATCCAGATAAAGATGGAAATTTACCTTTAATGCATGCATGTGCAAAACTTGATATCAGGTCAGTCAATAGCTTTTCTTCTTCTTATAACTATTTAACTAGTTCAAAATATTTTTTTTAAGTAAAGTAGAATTACTGATCAAAGCTGGAGCAAATCTTAACAATTATATTAGTTCAGGCAAAACAGCGTATGTCTTTTATTTTCGCTATTGATTTTCGCAATATTGATTTCACAAAAATTTAGATTAATGGTTGCAGCAAGCACTGGTTTCAGCAAAGCGTGTGCTCTACTCATTGAAAATGGTGCCAATATTTATAGTGTAGATCAAAATGGTAAAATATAATTACATTGAAAAATATTAATATCTACTGAGTTCATGTAGGTATAACTATTTTACATCATGCTATTGATAGCAAAAATTTCGATACAGTTGCTGTAATAATAAAACAATTGAATCGTGAACAAGATGAAAAAATAAAAGATATTGAAATAAACAGAGCAGTCGGAACGAATAAATGGACTCCATTGTATCGAGCTGGTAGATATATAAAGAAAATTCTTGGACGCGGAAAGCGAAAGAGATTTTGTTTTTGTTATTTCTATTTCTATTTAGTGATTCATGATTGTAATAAAGAAATTATCGAGCTACTGCTTAGAAATGGTGCCAATCCTGAATGTCAAGATAAATCAACATTTTCCACTGCTTTGCAAATGGCTGTTATTCGTGGCAATCTATTTACTACACAATTATTAGTAACTTATGGTGCTAATCCAAGATCGATGAGCAAAGTATAATTGAAAAACAAAACAAAAAGTCAGTTTCTATGAGAAATTATTTTATTTTATTTTTCTAGGTTAGTGGTAAAACTCTTCAAGAATTAGCTTCATCAACAAATAAAACAGTAAATAAACGTTTAATTAGTTAAAATAACTTTATCGATTTTGTTTAGGATTTGATCAATTATGTTAATTCATTACCAGGTGCTCCAAGAATGTAAAAAGAAAAGAAACAAATCAACAAATGAAATTCTGCTAGTGCAATCATTTTTTTCACCTGTTTCTCGATAAAAATGCTTGCGCGAGCGTGTGTGTGTGTGTGTGTGTGTTTGTGTGTCTGCACAAAATTGTTTACTAAGAGTTTTCATGTATGATAAGAAAGAGATTCTTTTTTTTCCTTAAATCTCGATAAAACTTCATATACAATAATTCTAATTCTAAACTGAGATGTCTATGTTTGTAAGTGAAGGATATATCTTATTTTATTGTTTTTTGCTTCTTAATTGTGTCGATAATAATGTTGTGCTGCTTTGTTTTAATTTTCCATAATTTATTGAATTATAACTCTTGCTTGTTGTTGTTGTTGTTGTTGTTGTTGTTGATGGCTGACCGAAAAATTTTATATCAGAACAAAGCTCTGGTAATGCATAACGGCTCCATTGTCCATTTGATTCGCATCGTTTACAATGAGGTCCAAAAGCAAATGCATATATGGCAAACACAGTTGAAGGTCCATAAAGAGCGCCACCATCCAATGGTTTTATTTCGCCCCATTCAGTTACTAAACGTGGATTAGCTCGTAGTAATTCTGCATCACATCGAACAGTTTCACATACAGTTAAAGGAGCCCAAAAGCCTAGCAAATCAAAAGAAATCAAAAAATTTTTCTTTATTTTTTTTTAATTTACCATCGCGACAAGTACGACAAAAACGAAGTCCTTCATGATCTGAACGTCTTTCGTAAACAGCTGTTGATAAATCAGGAACAGTTTCACGTGGATCATCATCAAGAAACTTTTTACGATGATCAGGTTGTTCGACACGTAAACGACGAAATTCAAATGGAACAACCATTTGTGTTTCAATTTCGTTAAGTAAATTAAGTGGACATGGCGCAAATGGTTGATCAACAATTGGATCTGTTATAGGTTTTTTTAATGAAGCATTATCAATATTTATTAATGGCGATGGAGTTGTTTGTTTTATATCGATATAAGAAAGTGGTATCGGTTCAAAAGCAAAATCAGATGATGATGATGAGGACAAACGTTTTCCATTCAGCATACGTAAATTTCGAACAAATAACCCAGATGATGAATGATTATTTGTTAACGATGCATCATCTTGAGATTGTTGAATCATATTTGTATCAATAATGATACATGCTGGTATTGACCAAATTTTATCTACATGAATCAGTACTAACAATAGTATCATAACATCAAACAAGTTCGACGACATGATTAATAAAATGAAGAAGTGATTGATGCAACTACTTTTATTCTGTACGAAAAAGTGAGATGTATAAAGGAAGAACAACAAAGCAGAAAGGTATTAAGCTTTTCAACGACGATAGACGATAGAGATTAACTAACGCATAGTGTTTACCGATCGGTTCATGCAATCAATTGGTGCGAGACAAAAATACATGGGATGTTTTATGCTTAATCTCTTTTCACTTGTTGTTGTCAACGATGACGAAATCGATCAATATAGAATCCGATAAGCACTACTTTTCTATTGTCTACAATACATCATACAATTCAATAAATATTGAGAATAAACTTTCAACTTTTTCGTCGTAGAATATTGTATGTCGCTTATGCGACTATTAAATATGAATAAATTTGTATTATTTTGCACAGTAATTTTTTTTTATATAAGTTTTTCTTATGTGATAACACAAAAACTTATGTAATGTTTTTGAAAAGAAAACAGAAAAGGAAAAATTATTCAAAATTTCAACTAGATCCAATCGATTCAAATTACAACAAGACTTCAAATCAAAATCATATTGATAAATAATACTCATTTGAGCAATAGAAATTTCAAGTATTAGTTTCGTTTCATCAATGGAGTATTACTATTCTATTACGTTTCTAATGTTACTTTATTTTCTACATAGAAACTCATTAAAACTGATTTCGAGGTTGTCTAACAAACAATTTTCTCACGAAAATACTTATAATAAAATTTGATGATTTTTAATTTTTTTATATTCAATTACTGGTCTCACTCTTGTCAATGAAAATTCGAATCGAAAATCAATTTCCTTGTGTCGAATAAGTTTAAAAACGAAAAAAAATATTACAGTAGTTTTACTAGCTGAATGTGTATTTCTGCAAGAGATTTCAGCCAACGCATTCGAAAATATTTATTTAATATGGACATTTGATCGTGAAAAATGATTAGAAAATGAACCTATTATCGATAGAAATAAAAGAAGAATAAAACCTAGTGATGATTATTGGCGTTTAGTTATTTGTAGAAAATTGTTTTCGTTTCTGTTTTTGTGCATAAAAAGGCATGATCATATCAATAAAAATATTAGTGTTTTCGTAATAGAGTCTTCATTGCTTTTCACAGTCATACAATAGGATCAACTGAATCTTTTTTTGCTTTCAATTCGATTTTCTACATTAAACATATTCGAATAATGTATATAAACAGTACATATCACTAGTATTTTTCTAATCATAAGAAAATGTAAAATAAGTGATGTTTTATTCGATGGAAGTTTTATATTCCATTGGTGACATTGAAAACAATTCTCAACAATTAAGAAATGTAAGAACTTGACGCTTGAGACATTCTGTAATTATAATAAATAGAATATCTTCTACTTGCCTTCACGCAAGATTATATAATATATACATGACTCTGAGTAATCTTTAATAAAGATAATAACAAGCATATGTACTAGATATAATATTTGAATTGATCGGTTGGTAAACGATTATTCAACAAAAAAAACATGGAATTCTTCTTAGGGTAATTACCAATACTGTCTCATGATGAATGCCGTAGCTGAGAAAATATGAAATGAGAAAGATCTTATTCAATCAAGACAAACCTTGAGAGGTGCATTACTTGATTGGCCGAGAATGATATAGAATGTTCTATAGTCAGCTCTTTTAAAATTACTTTAACTGAAATTAATTAGAATTTAGTAGATTTGTGGATGAGTAAAATATTTCCGTTCACAGGTATCAAAACTTTTTAATTTTCTCAATTTAGTTTTCGTTTCTTGTTGAAATTGTGTCACCATCATCTTCTTCTGTACAGTTCCTTGAATGCTGTTGAATTTGCGACTCATCAAGATCGAATGTTTTTTCTTTTTCCAACATATGAAGTTTTCTCTGCATAGATATTTCAGAGAACAGTAGATTGAAAAGGTTTCATTTTTTTTTCAATTCGAAGTTTGTATTGGATGAGATGGACAGTGTGAACAATAGCTACTCTACTCATATTTGTTTTTGTTTTAATATTTAACATGATCTAAGATAATCATGGACGACTTACACGAGTATTTCATGGCAATTTTCTTCAAGTTTTATGATATAGAAGTAGTTGATGATCCGAAAAGAGTCAAAAGATTAATTGTACAATCTGATAAGAGATTTAAGTAAGATTGTTGGAGTTATTAGTTTCAACATTTTTGTTGCTCTTAACTATTTCTATTTCTGGTGCTTCACAATTACATGGAAAAACTAATTACAATTGGTTGTATATTGCTGACTAAAAACTTCCTCAATTGATATATATACATGGTGAAACTAAGTATTAGAAATTTAATTTTGTTAGATTTTGATTATTCACTGGGGTGTTTTTCTATGCCTTCTATCATTAAAAAAAAAAGCAAAATGAAAATGAAAAATAGTTTTATTTGCCGAAAAACTAACAGAAAACAGCATTAAAAATACAATCACAACTGTTGCATGAGTTTATCTTCTGATGGATTGATTGTAGCTTCTTCTTCGTCTTCGTCTTCTGAACTTTCAGACGGTGGCATCATGTCATCTTTTAGTGCGACATCATTATGTTCTGCTTCTTGAACAACTTGAAATTCTTTGGGCCTAAATAAAAGTTTTAATAAAATATAAATAACTTTTTCTATTGACTCACCAACAATTTTGTGATCGAATATATTTAATATTATCTTTCAGTAAAATTTGCACAATTTCTGCTTTTACTTTATCGCCTTCTTCGATATCTTCTACGAGTACATAATCACCTAATTGAAAATAAAATTACATTTTAGAGAGAACAAAAAACAAACAAACCTCGTTTAATAAAAATCGTCTGACGAAATTTCGTTGGCATACTGACGAGAAATATCGATCCACTAGGAGTTACTACTTCGTGCAAATTATTTCCGCGAGGAGCAATAATCTAAAAGAAAATGAATTTTTAATATACTAATAAAAATGATTAAAAGTAAGATTCAATTCAATTGCTGTGATTGAAAAATCACTTATATTAGTACGATTATAGTCTGATTCTTACACAAGTCAGTTAGTTCAACTACCCGAAAGTACTTGCTGTTTTTCATTTATTTAGCATTCTTTATGTGTTGTAATGTAATGATTTGACTTTCTCTTCTTGAAAAAATGCTGAAAACTAACTCTAAGTGAAAATATGAATTGAAATAGTGTCTGATAGTTGAATACTTATCCAGTTTTATTCTATATAGAAATTTGAATATCAAATTCTCTTTACATTTATCATAACGTATTCATACACTTTATAATACGAAGAAAAGCAAACTTCTTATTTGAGTACTACCTCCACTGGAGCTAAACAAGAATCGTAGTTAAAAGAATTGAAAATAAGATATATTATCACTCGCTATAGCGTGGCGTCTGACAGGATGATTTGTTTTAAATTAATCTTTTTCGTAACTTAATAAAAAGACACTACTGAAAATAGATGGCCATTCTTTTTTTAGATATCAAACGTGCTGTCTTATTTCTTTTCATAGTAAATAAGAAACAAAAACATTTGCCAAACAATTCACTACGGCATTTTTTTTCTACACAAGTAAATTAAGAGAATCAGAACTGATTGAATTGACTAGAGAATAGTTTTTTGATAAATATCTGGCAAACAGTAGCATAATCGAGAGTTCAAAATTGTATACATTTGCTATAAATCTGATCCAAGATCAATTTTTCACATTTAAGAGTCATTATTTTTTTTTATAGATAACAGAAGACATAGAAGTAATTAATAGAATATCTACTTTTAACTTAAAAAGACAACTCATCGTATATTTACCTTAACAATATAATGTTTCTCATCGGGTAATTGATAACGTTGAAGTGCTTCATTTACGACATATTTCTTTTTTGTAGTAACTGACATATTTTTTTATATTGAAATATGTTTTTCATTAATCTAAAGAGAAATATATATATATGTATATATATGCACACAAACACAAACATTTCATATAAGTTTATTTTTTCTCAATTGTTGCTGAGCAAAATTCATCTGATTGTCCAAAAAAAAAAGAGAGAAAGACTTATTGAAAACAAAAAGAGTAAAGAAGACACAACAAATCTGAACAGAGAATGAATAACCAACATTCAGAGAAGAAGGGAAAGAGAGAGAGAGAGAGATAGAGAGAGAGAAATCAAGAATATAAGAGAAATGAAATCAGTTCGTTGGATTCACCATATTACGTTGATAGAATAGAAGATAACTACAGGAAACAAAATATAAGAAAATTAATCAAGAATAATAAATATATTCATTTCAACAAACCATTCACTTTTAAATACTTCTTCAGCGGATACTTCACATACACAGTGATCATCACATCGAAACCTAAAAATATATTCTTCTGTTATTTATTAAAAGAAAATATTATTGAATATCACCATCGATTTTGTAATTGAAGTTTAACATAACACATATAATGTCCTGTTTCCACAGATGAACCAAAATGACTGATAACAGCAAATAAATAATATTTATTATTTTCTTTAGACAAATTTATTATTGTCATATATGGTGTTAAATCAAGTTCATCAGGAAACGATATGTGTGCAGAGATTTTTTTACGCATTTTTGATCGAGATTTTTTGATATATTGAAAACGCTAAACGGCAATAAATATTTTTTTTAATTAAAGAAATTATCATATTCATTTATTTATTATTTTACTTTAAGATGAAAACAAGCAACTATTGGTGCTTGTGATATGGTTAATTTTATATTTGCTGTCATTGACATTTGACATTTATCACAGTAAAAATTACTTAATGCTTCGGAATGTGTAAACCTTGAATAAAACAAAAAAAAAACAATTTATCTCGTATTTTAATTCATAGTAACTTGATCATACCTCCATAAACAATTTTCTAGAGAAAACGATGATGATGGAAATAATTCGTCTGCAAATAGATTATTAAAAAAATATGAATAAAATAATGGCTTTCTTTCTTTTTCTTCTAATATTTATCTCAAATTTATTATGGTAATTTATAATCTGAATTTATTTTTCTGCATTTGAATATTCAATCTTGATGCAAGCAATAGATGTACTTTGCGAACTAACTGTTAATGAATTTTATTTAAATAGACTTGCCACGAACAAAATTTATCATTAATTATAAGAACAAGAAATTTTTGTCATGAATGACAGTAAAAATTTTGCCATATTTATATGGTTTATGAAGAAATTCCCTCTTGAATTTTCTCGAATAGATTTAGATTCTAACTAAAATAATCTGTAAAAGTAATGAGAAATATTTATAAGAGAAAATTAGATGCAATCTACTGTCAACAGTTCGTCTAATTTGATTGAAATTCTTCTTTAAGACGATCATACATACCGTTTGATGATGATAATGGCAATTGAAGAGATATATCTCGAACAAGGTCATTTTTTTTCGATACAGATCTAGGTAAAAGAAAAGCAAATTCATTAATAATTAAAGAGATTTTTTCTATAAAATTTCAATTGATCGAAAGAATATTTAGGGTCTATTTGTCTCTATGAAAATAAACGTTAAATTATTTTTATACTGAATATTACTGAAAGAAAATTTTTATTTTTTATGTAAATGAACTTTTGAATTGTATCAAATCAGTAAATCTTTCTAGTTTATAATAAATTTCAAGGAAAAAAACATTATTCAATTATATAGACCTCAATAAGAATAAAAAGCGCCTAGAAAAATTTTTCCTCAAATAACTTTAGGAAATTTAGTGTTCATGTCACAAACATGTAAACGTAAGCAGAAGGCATTGAAGAGTTTAGAGAATCCTATGAAAACATCGGACAAAGAGCATGTAAATATTATCTAAACGATGCACAGTCAATACTAGTCGGATATAATGAAAAGAGAACATAGATGTTAAATGAAATTCTTTATTTATAATAGGGCTTATAGAGTCATTTTATTGACAAAATTTCAGATAGCAATGAGATCATTAATTTTTTTTGCTATTTCTTGCAACTTGAAATAAATTCAGTAAAATTTTCATAAGCGGAGACACAATACATCGTTTCAACATGTTGACTACGTTAAATGCAAAAGGACAGCTAATTTCAGATTATTGAACTGAGTTATAATAGAGAAATTGTTACTTGCCCACATTGAGAACATATTATTTCAGATTGAAGAGCACCTTTGAAAAATCGATCAATAATACATGAACAAGATTTTTCGTCATTCTCTATAAAAACAAAATAGCACTTAACGATAAGAAATAAAATGCAATGAAAGTTTTTCTAACTCTCATCATTTGAATTTTGTGAATGTATTATGTTAAATAAAGCCATAAGTAATTCTTGTGCATCTTGTTCTTCGAAGCCGGCTAAATGATTTTCATGTGTCCAAATCAAATACAACAGCTGTGAAGGAACAAATGGTTCATTGGTTGTTTGTCCATGGTGAACCTTTTTTTTGTATTGAAATTTTTATTTAAATATTAACAGTAAAAATTATTCAAAAACTTACATGGTGATATAAACAACGTAATTGACACATTATACAATTATTTAATACATGATTAGTATCTTTTGATTCACAATAATGTTGTTTTTCCGAAAGAAAACAATCGCGAAGAACTATAAAATAAAAATTGAAATCAATTTATAAACGAATTATATATCTCTTTACCAGGAGCATGAACGAAAGCTTGCAAAACACTATTCATAAAACATGTATTACCGAGATTAAGAAGTCCACAAATGCCTTTTAAAATGAACAAAAGTAAATTTTTAGTTTTAGCTCCAGCTAATTGAATTCACCTCCAATCGCTAATGATGAAGGTGAAATATTTGATGGGCTTTGTTGAAGTAAAATAATTTTTCGTCTTGCACGTTCAAAAACTGAATCATACTGAACATCACTACATATATAACAATGAACAAAAAGACGTTTTATATCAATTGCAAGTGGATGTGAACATAGTCGAGCATGATGTTGAGCATGATGACGACAAAAACATAATGAACAATCTAAGCAAATACGACATTGTTCATCCAAGCCACATTCACAACATTTGGCTATCTAAATTTAATTTTACTATGATACTAAACAAAAATTACTGAAAAGAAAATATTTATACTCGATTTTTATTAAGAAGCGATTGCAAATGTGTAAAGCAGCTTGTATGTTGTATGCGATATTTTTGTTTAAGTTTTTCAATTTCTGGACATGAAAATTTATGTAAACGTGTTTGTACAACAACATTTGGACTATTCGAAGCATTTGTAGTCGAACAAACTGAACGAGGTGGTGATGATACTAGTCCCATTGATGAAAATGATGATGATGATGAAGTTGAAGATAATTCAATCATCACTTTTCTTTTCTTCAATTTCAGATAACAAAAAATATCAGAAGAATAGGAACTTTTTTAAGCTGGTCGACTATGACTCATGTTAACACATGTCTTACAATTCATGACTCATATCTATCAAATAAAGTTGAGTAAATTTCCATGCATATTATTCAATTCGATATTCTTTTTGAGTTATTTCATAACAGACAGAAATTATTCCGTAATTTTATATATATCATTAATTTTAAAAAATGATTTTTTTATTCCGTCGACTAGCGCCACCTCTCTATTTTATGGACATAAGAATATGAATTAGAACATTACAATCAGTGTTTCCAATGGCAAGTGTACACAACAGAAGCAAAATGTACAGAACATCTGCTAGTTTTGATTTATACTCTGCTACACACGTGCCCAGAAAAACAATGTGTACAATGTACACTGCTAAAATAGTTTACACTCTGATTGCTTTGATCTCTGAACCTTGAAAGCCGCATATAGTTTTGCATAAATTAAGCATGATATTTTTTTTCGCTAGTGATCAAAAGTTTTGTTTCATGAGATAAATAAATGTGGGAACTTCGGATTTCATCCGAGAGTTATGTGTACTGCAAAAATTGCATGGGACATATGAGTCATTCTAGAATGTCTGAATACCAAAATTATCATGACAAACTAGGCAATTTGATTTATGGGTGCAGTTTTTGTGCATTTTTAGACGTTTTTCAGGCGATGTTTCGTTAGAAAGCTACGGTTTAGTTCAAAACTAACACCAGATTCAGAATCAGCGTTAAAAACTGAGATGATTTATATATGTTGTGGATAATTCTGAGAAAAANTTCCATAGTGCACTCTTTTTTTTTTGAGTACACAAAAATGGCGAAATTTATATTTTGTTTTCTAGATTGTCAAAATTGGACTTTTGTACACTCTGATACGCTTTCCTGAAAAAATTAAAGTGTAATGTACACTTTGCTCATAAAAAACAGAGTATACTGTACATTTTGTTTTAGATTTTCATTGAAAACACTGATTATAATTGAACGACTATTACACTTCTCTCGATTGATTTTTATCATTAAATAATAGCTATTCTCTTTCATTTCATGTAAAAGAATCATTTCGGAAATCATATTGTTTAAGTTCAAGTGCTTTTTCGTCATCTACATCCGAAATGTGGTTGCTTGAGTGAACAAATGTATTTCTGAGTCATAACTACATCTTTGAAAAGAAAAGATGACATATGTCGATTTTACGTTCAAAATAACTCAACTTGTAATAAAAATGTATAGTTGCATTTTTTATGTAACTCATGCAAACATTCAAACGCTTGTCTTGAGCAAGAAAGTCATGCACTATGAATACATCTTGAACTCAAGTCTTGGCAAGCGCATGAATAAAAACGTTCGACTAGGGATTATACTATTTTTAAGTATAATACATGTAATCAAGTTTCTTGAAACAAAAGAATAGATTCTTAGATAGATACGTATATAAATACAATAACTAACTATGATTGTAATCAATATCCGAGTGACTTGATCTTTTTGTTTTTACTTTTATTTATTATTAAATTTATACTTGACTTTTATTAAAATACAGAATTTATTACCAAAAAGAAAAAAAATATATATATTAATATAAAATATACGAGGAGTACCTAACAACTTAGATAATTATCTAATGGTTTTCATTTAGTATTAATTAATAAAAATATATAAAACTAATTGATCGAATATGAATAAACATAGTCAATCGTACAAATACTTAAAGTGAAAATAAAGAAAAGCTTCGACAGCCAATATGTAAATGTCAAACAAATATTAAGCGTATATAGGACAAAAGAAAAAGAGCACCGACATATGTAAGTTCTTTTTAATAATAATTTGTTCGATTTGATGCTGGATAGTTTGGTGTTGACATTGGTCTTTGATGATTAGATGCATCTGAATATTGAATACCTAAAACAATAATAAAAAAGTATGATGTTATGATAAAAAAAAGTAACATGAAATCATGCAAATGTTTTTGATTTTAAAAACAAAACTCATGCTAACACAAACACCTACGAGGTGGTCGAACGAATATTGTCATACTCGTTCGTTTACGTATTGGAGTTTCTGTTGAAAAGTAGTCATTTATTTAGAAAAAATATTCAATATCAATGGTTATTATTTTTATATTATTATTTACTATTTACCTTGTTTTGGTGGCCAATCATCAGTTGTAATACGATTTTCTCGTCCTGAAAATGAAATTGAAATTGAAATTGAAATTGAAATTGAAATTGAAATATTAATATGTTTATGGAGTAAATCATTTGAACATACTTTCAAAACAATCATTATTATTACGCTGAAATGTATTTGATGTGAAACCAACATTACTATCAATTTTTTTATAAAGTTTTTCATGACGATTAGTTGATGATGATAGATATTGAACGGGTATATTTCTTGTTGTTGATGTCGAACTATAATTTTTTCGATAATTAATTGGAATACAACGTTCAACATCAATTGAATTATTTGTGATGTTAGATTTAAAAAATGGTTCATCGAACCAATCATCATTGAAACCCCAACGAAGTGGACGATCAAAATCATCTAAGAATTTTCTTGATCGTCTCTCAAAAAAACGTGGACCACCCAAATGATCCCAAGCAAGTGATGGTGACGAAAAATCTCGTTCAATTAAAAGAGAACTTAATGGACGACGTCGATATGAAGAATTTGAATGATCATTATTGAACGATGATGAACGAGAATAATATGATCGAGATTCTTTTGAATAGTTTCGTGTTGATGACATATTAATAAAAACAGGTTAAGTAAGATGCTCTAAAAACATGAAACCAACAACAATAAAAAAAAGGAAATCCGCTCGACTTATAGAGTAGAACTATAATACGTAAAGCTTGATGTAAATATAACCTTCATGATAATATATTGGCTATTTTTCTTTTTTTTTGATCGTGGGGAATATGTCATTATCAAACAATGATGCTATCGATATTAAGAACGAACGCGAGAAAGAAAGAACAAGAATATGACCGAGTATTTTCTCTTTTAATACGTTTCTTGTCATTTTCCCATCATTGTATAAAGATACATCGTGATGTGTAGAAGTTTGATGACGAACGACGAGTGATGGTATCGTTAATTATAGATAGAGAGAGAGAGAGAGAGAGAGAGAGAGAGAGACGACACCTTTCAGGAAAATGAAAATAGCTTCCTTATCCCTAATTGATAGTGCTATTCTTCTATCATATGTACGATATAAACAAAATCTAATCGAACAATCAAGGATAAACACTAAGAAAGAATTTATTTCATATAGCTCATTTACACAACGATATATCAGAGTATTCAACTTAAAAACAGTGAAGATTTAAAAAAATTAACGCTTATGGTTGGATAGTAATGTTCAACATGTTTTTGGACGGATTTAACCCGTTAGCACAAGTACCCAAAGCTTATATCGCACCATTAGATCACGAAGTAACTGAACAACTAAACTAACTATCGATGCAAAAAAAAAGAAAAGAAAAAGTTATAATAACTGTATATACCTATGCGATTGAGCAATAACTTAGATGCGTTTCTTACTCGAAATAAAAAGAAGAAAATACTGTTGATGCGACCTTGACAAAAAATGTGCATTCCTATGGCAGAGATCGATTTATGTGCCCACATCATCATAGAAATGGCAAGAATAATATCATACATAGAGTAGAGAAACGGGAAGAAGAAAAAAGTAGTAAGCACCAATGGTTTTCATGTTTTTCCAGATATATGTATGTTGCGGTTACATTCTATAGCCATCAGCGTTTATCAAGATCACATGATCAACATCTTTGACACTCAAATTTTTATTATCTATTTTGTCAAATCTAAATATATTCCATAGTTTGATTTATATGATTTAATATGAATTGAATTCTATCATCTGTTATTAAATAACTTAACTAATCTTTTGAAAAATGTTTTTTTTTGTCATAAAACAATAATATTGACAAAACCAATATAGATCATACTAGGACTATCTGTATTAAAGAACAGATAAGAAATATGACCTTTAAAATAATTGAGTAAACACGTACGACAATACGAGATCATTTTTATTAAGAACACCTGGTTGTCGTTTTTTTTCGATGGTAAATACGAGCAGAAAGTTATACTTGTTATTGACAAATACCAGCTCTATTTCGGCGCTCGTCTTCCACTTAATTAGCAATAACATTTTTTATCATCGTTGCTGACACTTTGCACAGAAAAAATATTTCAAGTCGCTGATATGCTCTTGTTTACAATTAATTTTTGCACTCGTCTATACTTAAATTACTTGGATTTTGACGAGGAATATTTTATTGAATCAATCAGATTTTATGCTCATTAAAATTAAAACATAAGTAAAATGAAATTAGCATCGATTTTATTAAATTTTCTATAAAATAAAATACAATCAAGACATTGTCACAATTAAAATGTTGCATTCATTTTCGTCTATGTTCATGTCAATAGTGAAGATATTAGATATGATTTTATTTTAAATATTTTACTCATCAGATGTCGACCCTAGTGAATGTACTCATCAAGCGAGTACCCAAAAAGAAAATGCCGCGAGTTCTCTCTCATGAGTACTCGTGGCTTTGAGAACTCATTAGCAGTACTTGTGCTTGGATCTGAGTACGACTATTGAGTATTCGCGTTATAAAACCGAGTGTTTCGTGAGTATTCTGGTGTGCTCTTCGTAAAATACTCGGACACATACCCAGATGAACCAATCCGATACCGAATCACATCGGATTCTATGGGTTCCTACCATCCGACGAAATCCCGTTGGATTCCTGGTTGAGGAATCAATGTCGGATCCGATAGTCATATTTCCAATCATATTAGATTGTCGGAACCAATGAAATCCGAAGCATTCCGGTTCCGATTGACGGTTACTGTCGGATTTTATTAGTTTCCGATATTAGGATCCGATATCGATTCCGGAACTAGGAATCCGACGATAATCCGATAGTTTCCTTGCGCCTTCTGAAGAGCTCCGTCGAATTCCAATAGGAACCGATCGGAGCTCATCGGATCCTAGGCGAGGATTCATTCTCCTGGGTATTTTGTTCAGTATCCTTTTACTAGGTTCGATTTATTTATTTCGCAAACTAATGATAGAACAAAGAGTTACATGATAAGAATCTCAGAAACGAAGTGTTTCATCGTCTTAAAATTTGTTTAATTATGGCACAGAGATAAAACATTTATCCATAGAATGTAAGAAAAAATGAATGAAAATTTGTATTAAGAACACTAAAACATGTGTAAACACAAACACACACGAGAAATAAATTATGGATCAAACTAAGATACGTGACAGCAATACACATTCACTTTAGATCGTTATAAAAAAAATATGAACATTTTAGATCGAAAACTATGATCGCTACGTAAAAAGTAAAAAGATGTATGAACTGTCTTCTATATTATTGATGCTTCTTCAGAATATTGAATCTCATGTTTTTGGAAAAATTTTTTCATTCGTCTTGTGTTTCATTAATTTTCACAAAAAAAAATTATTTTTATCTAAAACGATATTTCATCTTTGATTTAAGACGTAAAATTTAACACATCATTTCATATTTTCAAATAAATATTTGGTCTTACTCAAGAAACGAATAGCTGAAATGAAATGGCTTTATTTTTTCTATTCTTTAAATAGCCAATTGATTAAGCCACATGAGTGACTCATCACAAAAGATGGAGGATACAATTGATAATTTATTTAAAGAATTCTTTCGTAATTTCCGTTTCATTATACAGTTGTTCTTAATTATGCAATATTATTTTATTTTTATGCATCCTAGTCCATAGATGTTTTCCTGAATGTCCTCTGAAAAGCGACGATGAGTACTAGCTCGAGTACTCGAATTTTCGTGTACGAGCAATTCTTAAAGAGAAAACTCATTAGAGTACTCATTATAGTACACGAAAAGTATATTTACACAAAATGCATCGAATGCTCATTCGAGTAACTTGAGTACTCATGCTGCAAAGTCGTACTCGCTGGGCGAGTACTATCACTAGAGACGTCTATTTTTTTTTCAAATGAAATCAAATTTAGCCTTGGATAATTGTTGTACCACCCTCTTCCATACGATACGCCCTTTTAATTATATGTAGCAAAGTCTGTTATTGAAGCAGAATAATATTCATTCACGTCATTCAACTAATTTTTAATCAGTCATATTCCCTCAATGACTACCCAGTGAAAAATAATCATAGAAGAAAAAACGTAAAGAAACGCATTCATCAGAATAGGGAAAGCCATATTTTTCATGAAGAACGCATTCTATAAGTTGATGAATGTGTTTATTACTGAAAAGAATTCGTTTAACATCTGAGTGAATACATTCTTCAACGTTTCATACTTTTATGGAATGTTTTTTTCCTATTTCAAAAATCTTTCTTCATCAGAATAGAAAGCCTTCTAACCTGTTCCATTCACTATCAGAATGGTTTTCTTTTCATTCTATTTATGAAAGGTCAGGATTGAGTTCCATTTTGAGAAGGTCGCATTCTCTCACGTTCTGTAACGGAATGCCTAAGAATGGACTCTTGGAAGTAATGAACGCTTTCCAAATCATTAAACGCCATTTTTTTGCAAGGAAATAAAACATTCTCTACCATTCTACATTTTTCAAATGTACATACGTGTATATACGTGTATATATATATATATATATATATATGTATTCATTGGATAAATATAAATACTAAAATTTATGCATAAAAACGCATCTGTTTCGATATACATACATTTGTATTTATATTATAGATACAAGATTAATGTTAATTTCGAGAAATAAATAGAGCAGGATAAGAATTTAAAAAGCATAAGGATGTGTCTTGTATAATTGATAGGAAAAAAGGAATTTGATAATATCTGTTGAGAATAATTTCGAAAAAAGGTGTCCTATAAATATTAATTTGTAAAGCAGTTTTTTTCCGTGTAATATGTAAGCATAATTGTTTTTTAAATATTTAGATAAATATTTCTTTATATAATAATTGCTTATTTTAATTTTAAAAGCAATAGACTAAAACTAAAGTTTTTATCTTTTTCTGTTAAATATGAAGGAAAATAAATGTTTAAAATGAAAATTTACATGTTTTGATTCTAATATTTTGTTCAACACCAGCTGTATTTTTACTAGACTGACTATCAGAAATGACAGGCTAATAGCATAGATGCTACACTTGTAAATATAGATAGGTGAGTACGAACCCAACCCGAAGCAGCGACAAGTAAAAACTAGCTAACGAAATAAAATGAAAACCACGTAAGTCAAATAGAATAATAAGATGTATAACAAATTCGAAACAGAGAAAAAGAAGAAGAATTCCAGATAGCTAGGCAATTCCCAAGAAAATTCTTTTTACAGAATTGGTCGAGAATGATTTCGTTAGATGGTGGAATTCGTTATCCAACATTTCCAAATGAAAATGGTATAGAACGAATTCCGAAAAGATGAAAAATGGTTTATAAGAAAAAAGAAGTTTTCTCTGAAATTGGAACGCGTTCTACACCGTTTTTTTCTATGATTTCTTTTTCACTTGGTAAGGTATATTTAAAAATTGAACGATAGAAATTTCAGTTTTTTCTTTAAATATTTTTATGTTATTAGTAGAATATAATTGAAGTTAGAATAATCATACATGTGTTCGTGTCTTCTTCATAATCAGGCGATTATTATACATGCATTTTTCATTTTCTTAAACGATTCGTTTTCTAGCGAGTTCTTTTGTAGT